CCTTAAAAAGAAAGAAAGAAAGAAAGAAAGAAAGAAAGAAAGAAAGAAAGAAAGAAAGAAAGAAAGAAAGAAAGAAAGAAAGAAAGAAAGAAAGAAAGAGAAAGAAAGAAATTACTCTTTGGTGGGGGCGATGGCCATGCCACAATCCCTTCTTCTCCATTCTTCTCTCAGGATTTTGGGTTTGCATGCACGCACAGCCAGAATGACTTTCAAGCTGCCAGTTCTAGGACTTGAACGACAGAGTCAGGCATCTGGGCTCCAGCTGCCTTAACCACTATACCACTTGCTATCCCCTCCTCCCATATGCTTTAAAGCATCTCTAGATTATTCCTTAAGTACTTTTAGCATGAGATATATGTGAGTAGAAAAATATATTATAGATAAACTTTCTTAGCTTCTCTCTTTTAGGGATCCACAACAGTTGGGATAGCCTAGCCATATCTTGGTTGGTTGAATTCATGGGTATGGAACCCATAGAGACAGATACACAAGCAAGGGGGAATTGAGGCCATTGGCTAGAATGAGATCACTTAGTAAATTCAGGATGAAAAAAGAAGTGGGCCTGGGTCCAAGCATTGAAGAACCATAATATTTAATGGCAAAGAAGAATGAATCATAAGAGAAACAGAGGAGAGACTAGAGACAGAAGGAAAAGAGAATAGTATATGAATGTGTGTGTGTGTGTGTATGTGTGTGTGTGTGTGTGTGTAATTTTTTTGTAGATATAGAAAAGTGGGTGTTTCTGAACTCAAATCAGGTTTGCTCTACCAAGTGCTATAAAACCAAACCATAAGCACATGGTGTGATGAAAGAAAGTACAGCTTTATTGCAAAGCGCAAAGCAAGGAGAGCGGGCAGCTCATGCTGAAAACACCCAGTCTCCAGGAGACGTTCCCCATGTGCATTTTTTTTAAGGGCAAGATTAGGGGCAGAGGTCCCAGGGAAATGATCAGTTCAGTGATTGATTCAAGAGGATCATCTCCTGGGCATTCTTGATTGGTGAGGTATTAGATAATCAAATTTCTGTTCAGATTTCTAGAGTCATTCTGCCTGGTGTCTTTTGAGCTCACAGCCAGCAGTTTCCATCCTACAAAACATCTTACATATTGAAGTGAAACTTTATCTTTCTTTTAAGTGAGATTTTTAGAGGTCCAATAGCCCTTACTCATGGTCAATCAATGTTGTTTCACTATCATAACCGAAGTCTGAAGACTTACCCTTACTCTGGACCGTTATAATGTAAATGGACCTTGTATTTCAAGAACCTTAGAAAATACACTTTACTTTTAGTTCAGTCCTTATTTATTTTCACTTTGAGAGATTCTCACTTTTTCTCTAACAGCAGGGGAAACTGAATACCCATCATTCTTAGGAGGTCCCTGCTCTGTTTCATGGGAAATTTAATGAAGGAGGGAAGAAAAAAACAGCTCCCAAGATGAAAGGAGGGCTCCCAGAAAATGGATTGCCAAGGAAAAACTGTGGGTAGAGGTTTCTACCTGGGTGCAAGGGGCCTTGTTCAGGCTTGTTCGAGGGGGGGGTCATGCATGCATTCTCCTCATGGTGGAGAGGGGCACATGCTTGATGGGTCCAATTATTTTCCTAATCATGGAGTGGGTACCAAGGTCAGGAGATTCTTTGTCTAGAAGCGTTGGGTTATATAAAAAAAAAAACATTATTCCCTTCCTGGATTGTAGGGGGACTGGAAAAAGTCTTTGTTTTAGGTCTCGGTCTTGCTGCCTAGGTCAATCACCGAGCTACCATTATACAAGATAGTATTCTTAACCAAGGGAAGGAGGAAATGACCAGCAACATCAGTGTGAATATAACTTAGGATAAACCCTGAAAACTACCTTTAGATGAGCAGTGCGTATCATCAGCACCCTTACACGATAGAGATGAAACTCTAAAGGTCCTGCCTAATCATCAGTTCTCTTCTTCCCTTGCTCCTATTACCATCCAATGTTCAAAGTGAACCTCCACTTTTTAAGAAAAGGAGTATTTCTTAAGAATCTCAAACACTATGACTATTTCAACATCACAGGTTTGGGCTTCAGCCAAGCTGATAGCTCCCTGGAGACCCTGCCCCATCCCACATGCTAAGAAATCCCACATGCTGACATTGATTTTTGTTTTTTTCTTTCTTTGGAGAGGTTTTTGCTATAGGGCGCGTGCACTCGCCAGACAGACAGAGAGAGACAGAGAGACAGAAAGCGAGAAATCACCCCCCAGGGGGGGATGACCACGCCGCAATCCCTTCTCCTCCATTCTCCTCTCGGGATCTTGGGCACGCACGCACGCACATGCGCCCGGCGTGAGTTTAAGC